GTCATCCTCATCAGCAGCATCATCAGCATCAACATCATCATCACCACAATCAGCATCATCAGCATCATCATCAGCATCATAATCAGTATCATCATTATCGTTCTCCTGCATGATTCCTGTCCGTATCCTCATCTTCCTTCTCTTCCTCCTCTTCCTATTCCTCCACCATGCTCTCTCTTCTTGGGTTACGACGGCTTCACAGGCCCGTTGTTCCTCTGGATGCTTCCTCACTTCCCTGATCAGGGCAACTCGCCCGGGCATCGTCTCTGGATGGGCTGGTGGGGTTTCGCGATGCGTCTAGAAGTCTTGCTTCTCTACTCCTTCGCCTCCTCCGCCTCCTCCGCCTCCTCCGCCTCCTCCTCCGCCTCCGCCGCCTCCTCCTCCTCATCCTAAGCAGTATCATCAGCATCAGCACCAGTATCAGCATCAGCATCATCATCATCAGCAATATTTATCAGCATCGACAGCATAATCATCGTCAGCATCATCAGTATCATGTTCATCCGCATCCGCATCATAATCAGCATTAGTAACAAAATCAGCATCATCACCATCAGCATCGTCAGCATCATCATCCTCACCATCATCATCATCATCGTCATCATCAGCAACATCAGCAGCATCAGCATCCACAAAATAATTACCCTGGCGACGTACCCAACCCCTGCGCAAAAGCGGGGCGCAAATAGTTTAGGATACTTTATAAGGGGGCGATGACGGAGCGAGGGTTACATATGTCTGCAGACGGAATTCGGGAGACTCGCAGGACACTGGCTACAGGAAAAGGGCTTGATAAAGCTGATGATTTACAATTCCTGAGCACTCCTAGCCACTTCGAAAACGGGATCACAGCAGGCCTCGAAAGTGGCGACAGGTTCACAGATCGCAGCCCCGCAGGGATGGCGAGGTCTCATTTGAATCTGCCCGTGGCCCTCACTGTGCTGGGCCCCCCAGCAGGCCTCGAAAATGGCGGCAGTTTCGCAGATCGCAGCCCCCCAGGGATGGCGAGGTCTAATTTGAATCGCGCGTGGCCCTCACTGTGCTGGGCCCCCCAGCAGGCCTCGAAAATGGCGACAGTTTCGCAGATCGCAGCCCCCCAGGGATGGCGAGGTCTAATTTGAATCGCGCGTGGCCCTCACTGTGCTGGGCCCCCCAGCAGGCCTCGAAAATGGCGACAGTTTCGCAGATCGCAGCCCCCCTGGGATGGCGAGGTCTAATTTGGTCCGCCCGTGGCCCTCACTGTGCTGGGCCCCCCAGCAGGCCTCGAAAGTGGCGACAGTTTCACAGATCGCAGCCCCCCAGGGATGGCGAGGTCTAATTTGAATCCGCGCGTGGCGTCACTGTGCTGGGCCCCCCAGCAGGCCTCGAAAGTGGCGACAGTTTCACAGATCGCAGCCCCCCAGGGATGGCGAGGTCTAATTTGAATCCGCGCGTGGCCCTCACTGTGCTGGGCCCCCCAGCAGGCCTCGAAAGTGGCGACAGTTTCACAGATCGCAGCCCCCCTAGGGATGGCGAGGTCTAATTTGAATCTGCCCGTGGCCCTCACTGTGCTGGGCCCCCCAGCAGGCCTCGAAAGTGGCGACAGTTTTGCAGATCGCAGCCCCCCAGGGATGGCGAGGTCTAATTTGGGTCCGCCCGTGGCCCTCACTGTGCTGGGCCCCCCAGCAGGCCTCGAAAATGGCGACAGTTTCGCAGATCGCAGCCCCCAGGGATGGCGAGGTCTAATTTGGGTCCGCCCGTGGCCCTCACTGTGCTGGGCCCCCCAGCAGGCCTCGAAAGTGGCGACAGTTTCGCAGATCGCAGCCCCCCAGGGATGGCGAGGTCTAATTTGGGTTCGCCCGTGGCCCTCACTGTGCTGGGCCCCCCAGCAGGCCCCGAAAATGGCGACAGTTTCGCAGATCGCAGCCCCCCAGGGATGGCGAGGTCTAATTTGGGTCCGCCCGTGGCCCTCACTGTGCTGGGCCCCCCAGCAGGCCTCGAAAATGGCGGCAGTTTCGCAGATCGCAGCCCCCCAGGGATGGCGAGGTCTAATTTGGGTCCGCCCGTGGCCCTCACTGTGCTGGGCCCCCCAGCAGGCCTCGAAAGTGGCGACAGTTTCGCAGATCGCAGCCCCCCGCGGGCAAGACAGGAAGAGGCGGGAGGCGGGAGAAGGGACGCGACCACACTGCTCTATTCAAAACGAATACCCAACCAAGGAGGGTTGGGAATAAGCAGCAGTTGCAGCATCATCAATTTCAGGATCAACATCATCCTCGACAACAACAGCAACAACAACATCATCGTCATCATCAGCATCATAATGATCAGCATCATCATCAGCATCAGCATCAGCATCAGCAGCATCACCATCACCACTAGCATCATCATCATCATCATCATCATCATCATCATCATCATCATCATCAGCATCAGCATCCTCCTCATCATCCGCCGTATCATCATCAGCATCAGCAGCACCATCAGCATCATCATCAGCATCGTCGTCATCATCATCCGCCGCCTCCGCCTCCTCCTCCCTCTCGCTCCTCCTCTTCGCTCCGCCTCCTTCTCCTCCTCATTGCCCCTCCTCCTTGACGCCCCGAGCGCTCGCTCCCGCGGCTGGCCCAAGACGAGGAGCGGACGAAGAAAATGTAGGGTGAGGAAGCAGAGGCAAGGGACAACGATAAGGGGGGGCAGGCATATGGGGGGTCATCATCATCATCATCATCATCATCATCATCATCATCATCATCATCATCATCATCATCATCATAATCATCATAATCATCACCATCAGCATCATCGTCACCATCATCATCAGCATAATCATCATCAGCATCATCATCATCATCATAATCATCATCATCACCCGCATCATCATCATTAGCAGCATCCTCATCATCAGCATTATCACCATCGTCGTCATCATCAGCAGCAGCATCATCAGCATCATCACCAGCATCATCAGCAGCATCATCAGCATCATGATCATCAGCATCATCATCAGCATCGTCAGCCTCAGCATCAGCATCGTCAGCCTCAGCATCAGCAGCATCATCAGCATCAGCATCATCAGCATCATCATCAGCATCATCCTCATCATCATCAGCATCATCAGCATCATCATCAGCATCAGCATCAGCATCAGCAGCATCACCACCACCACTATCATCATCATCATCATCATCATCATCATCATCAGCATCATCAGCATGCTCCTCATCATCAGTCGTATCATCATCAGCATCATCAGCACCATCAGCATCATCATCAGCATCGTCGTCATCATCATCCGCCGCCTCCGCCTCCTCCTCCCTCTCGCTCCTCCTCTTCGCTCCGCCTCCTTCTCCTCCTCATTGCCCCTCCTCCTTGACGCCCCGAGCGCTCGCTCCCGCGGCTGGCCCGAGACGAGGAGCGGACGAAGAAAATGTAGAGTGAGGAAGCAGAGGCAAGGGGCAACGATAAGGGGGGGCAGGCATAGGGGGGCATCATCATCATCATCATCATCATCATCATCATCATCATCATCATCATCATCACCATCATGATCATCATGATCATCATCATCATGATCATCATCATCATCAGCATCATCATCAGCACCCGCATCATCATCATTAGCAGCATCATCATCAGCATCATCATTGTCGTCATCATCAGCAGCAGCATCATCAGCATCATCAGCAGCAGCATCATCATCAGCATCATCAGCAGCATCATCATCAGCATCATCATCAGCAGCATCATCAGCATCGTCAGCGTCAGCATCAGCATCATCATCAGCATCATCATCATCAGCATCATCATCATCAGCATCATCAGCATCATCAGCATCAGCATCAGCATCATCATCAGCATCACCATCACCATCAGCATCATCATCAGCATCGTCATCATTTTCGCTTAAGATATGGTGACAACTTTGATTCTGGAGATGCCTCGCCCCAAAGTGGTCTGGCCACTGTCGCCTGAATCATTCTCAGAACTCTTAGTTTCCAGAACCCCAGGCCGAGTGAAAGTCTGCCGTCTTTGAAAACATATTCAGGTTGTATAAATTCGAAACCAAGCTTTCGGCTGAGACATCCAGCAAACTTTGCTTTTCTCTATTGCTTTTTGCCCGATGTTTGAAGTGAAATCTTCATTTTTGTACAGATCACCTCAAAAACAAAGGTTTCGCTTGAGACATCAGGCAAAAAGTGATGGTGGAAAGCTGGTTTTCTGAGGATGTCTCAAGCGGAAACTTTGATTACTGGAGAATCCTTTGGATTTTCATTTCTGGGGGAACCCGATGACCCGAGAAAGTCCGGCGAACAAAAAACAAAGAAAAATCCGGTGGATTTTCAAAAAAACGAAGGTTTCGCTTGAGACACCCTCCAAACTTTCACTTTTCCCCTATTGTTTTTTGCCCGATGTCTCAAGCGAAACCTTGATTTTCAATAAGGTTGAATATAAAAACAAAGGTTTCGCTTGAGACATCAGACAAGAAGTGATGGTGGAAAGCTGGTTTTCTGAGGATGTCTCAAACGAAACTTTGATTATTGTAGAATCCTTTGGAATTTCAATTCTGGGGGAATCCGACGGCCCGAGAAAGTCCGGGGGGAAAAAAGAAAGATCCAGTGGATTTTCAAAAAAAAAAAACCAGGTTTCGCTTGAGACACCCTCCAAACTTTCACTTTTCCCCTATTGTTTTTTGCCCGATGTCTCAAGCGAAACCTTGATTTTCAATAAGGTTGAATACAAAAACAAAGGTTTCGCTTGAGACATTAGGCAAAAAGTGACGGTGGAAAGCTGGTTTTCTGAGGATGTCTCAAGCGAAACTTTGATTATGGAGAA